GAACACGCCGACACGGGGTCGGACAAATGCACGGTAACCCGTAACACGGTGCAGAGGTACAGAGAAGAATAATCTCCGGTCGATCTGTATCCACGGCACACTGACCGGCCCTTGTTCCGAACGTTTCGCCAGGGATTGCCGCAAATTTGTTGCCCGCCTCGGGAAGGTGTCCGATCCAAGGGGGAGGGGGACAGCCATTCATCGTGCATGATTAAAGGGAATCTCGGTGGCCGGAAACGGAGCGCACGGTGTGTAAACGGGGGCGCCCGTCGGCCCCCGAGATTTCATTAGCAGATTACTTAATCTGCATTCGAGGGGGACTGGACATCGATCGGGCACCGTGGAAAGGGCACACGGAAGGCCAAACACTGGAGCATTGTTCCTCGCGACTGCAAAGTGCTCTCTCTTAACGGCGATCCGTAATTCCGAGGGTTTAGCCTACTTTTTTCTCTGGCCGTAGGTAAACCGTGGATTTATTTGCTTTTCTGGGCTAGCCAGCCAGCCATCGTGTCTCGAAAGCTGTTCTCTACTCGCCACTTCTCCATCTGTATACGGAGGAGCTAATGCACCTGTCGAAATCGCTCACCTGAAACAGACCAACAGAGAACGGTGTTAGTGTGACCTCTCAGGAATCACTTTGAGGCTTCTATATCTTTGAATAAAATTAAGTACGCTCAGCTCCGTGACTGCTCGAACGATACGCTCAGCGGATTGTTAGTCGCGTTACCATTAACCTCTTGAGGGATACTGGTAGATACACATAGTACGGGATAAATGTTTTCGGACAAACACCTTTTACTGTACTATTTGAATTAAGCGATACATGCCTGTCTTGACTAATTCTTGTTTCCTTAGGTCGACTACAATTGCACGATACATTGTCTGAGTAACCTCGTTGAACAAATTGTTTTTTTCTATTGAATATATCGCTTATTTCGGAATGTCGACACGGTTAATATGTAACTTTTGTCAGCAATGGTCCGTAGTTTCACTGACGTGAATTAGATTTCTACATTTGAAAAAAGGTAAATATCAAAATAAGATAGGTCTGTTTAATATCGACATTTGCGACCCTGAGGAGATTAACACGGCACGAAACATTACACTTTTCCAACGCGCATGTACGCCACGTTCCGGCTTGTCAGAATCAATGATTACCTAGTAGCGTCCTACCCCCGTCACGGGACGAAAAGGAATCGTTGGTGAAACGTTTACAAAGACGAATACGTAGGAGAACACGGAAATCGGGGTCGTAGCGCGATGTAAATGTCGGGTTTCATTCAGCCGTGTCGCAGAAACCCCGTGAAATTCTATCGGGGTCCTCGCTGCCCCCGCCCCCCGGAATACGAGGTTAATTTGATTTTTATCTTGCGCAATATCCGGTTCCACATCCTCTTTCTCTTCAGTCTCCCCCGTTTTGCGCGTCCCCGTTCCGCGGTCTTCCCTCCGATGCCTCTTTCGGCCATTTTACGGACTAATTTCTTGCTCGTTTCTGTGGACAACGACGCACGTATCTATCTCTATCTCTCTCTTTCTCTCTCTAACCATATCTTGCTAATCTCGTTGTGTTGCTCGTGACGATCTTTATGCAAACGTAACGATTTTAAATCCCCCCGCCCCTTGTTTAAGCTGCTCTTTCGCACGCACCGTACCACCCTCTTCTTCGCCATTCTCTTCTATCCCCATCCTCTGTTTGTCCCGTTCCCAAAGGCTTTTGCCGCCCCAACGAGAAGGGTAATCGTCGAAGTTTAAAATGGGACGTTTTGGCCCCCCCAATGGACCACGCTGTTCCCGACTTTTAGACGACGACACGCGCTGCTTCGAGAAGGAATAGCGATGAGCAGTCCCTAGCGTTAGATTTTTACAATATACATGTATACAGAGAGTGTTCCATAAATGCATGTCCATACTTCCGGGAGTAAATCTACACATTAAAACTAATAAAGATGTCATATGTCCATATGACATTTTTTACTTGTTTCGGTATGTAGGTTTACTGGCTGAAGTATTGACATGCATTTAGAAAACAGCCTGTATACTACAGCCGAGATAATGCGATTATAAATTCCCCAGGGGAGCGGTGGTGATGGGCGGAATAAATCGCATATTCGGCTCGTATATCACGGATTTCCGGCTGGAATGTGGCTTTTTTCGACTGACCCACATACCTCGATATCATTATTCGTCGCGCTCCCCCCCACGTTTCGATTCGGTGAAAAATGGGAACGAGAACGTTCTGTCTAACGTGCGCACAGCCGCGACCACCGACGTTTTTTCCCATACGTTTTTATTCGATGAGGATTCAGCCAACGAGCGTCTCTGTCGAGCGGGTTTGAGAAGGATTTCCTAGTCGAAATTAATTCATCCGGACATATATTCCGATGGCCTCTCTCTGGTCGATATTTCTTTTTTCTAGGAAGCAGTACTTTCGCAAAGCTGCTCGCTCGACGACGCGTTATTTTTTCGTTTCTCGTGGCCCATCCTGCCACGGAGGAGAAATTGCTTTTTCCACTCGGGCGGGATGAGACTGTTTCCGCGCGTTTCGGCTTCACACACGACACGGGCTTCATCCCTTTGCGAGGCGGATTAATTTCGGGGGCGGTCTAAACGGGCGTGTACCTGTCACACGATGTCCAAAACTCTCTGGCACATTTTTTCCCCCGTAGCTTCAACCCGACGATGCAGGCGCCACGGAAACTTTTTCACCAGTGGTGATCGTCGATGACTCCCCTCTTGTAGAGAGTTTTTATTGTTTCATTTTTGAAGCTTTGATTGGACTGGAATTTCTTATGATAGAGTAGATAAAAAATGCAGTGTTCAGCAGCAAATGGTCATTAGTTTATGAAATATTTAATGGTCAGTGCCGAGGAGTCTTCGAACACTCATCGGGGATTTACTGTAGTACAACTGTATCATTGTGAAAAATGGTACAGGCCTATCCTGTCTCGGTATACGAATTAAAAGAAAAAAGAAAACGTATCTACAAAAATTTCACTTAAAGCGGACTTTCGGTATTTCTTAATCTCGGTCGGGATTCACGGACGGGGACGAGTAAATTCAGCGTTATCCTCGAGCATGAGAGCCCTCCAGAGGGGTCGCGAGTGTTCCCCTGTATCCGTGGAACCTCTTTACGCGGAATGGGTCTCATATACTGGCCGAGCAAAACGACAGCGTGGCGGTGAAACGATCGTAAAATTTCGTGGTGAGCCCCGCGATTCGTCCTGGATTTAGGGAACCCACCCCCTGAGAACGCCTCGCGCTCGTGAATACCAAATCAGAATATGCAAGTGCGATGAATACGAACACCGGGACAATCGGGAAAAAATCCCGGGCCCTGTTCACCTTTGATATCCTCCTTAGTTGCTCGTTCCTGTGACTGGATTTAATCGGGGTCCACCTGGGAATCACGAAAAAGTAGACACACCGCCAAGCAACGGGCGATTCAGAGTGGAGCGATAGGGGATCTATACCGAATCTGGTAATGCAAGACAGGTGAATAAACAACGCTAGAGAATAATGTCGAGGTCGGAAACTGAAGCAGAGGTCTAAAATTCCAAGCTAACGGCACGACCATTCGACGGATGAAGGCCTGCGGTGACTTTTAACCGGGATGCTAATCATCCAGAAGAAAAGGAATCCTCGTTGCTCACAGGAAATCCAAGGAGAAAGGTCACGAGAGCTAGAGAGATACATAGAGATAGAAGAAGGACCGTCGGCTTGGTTTGTAGTTCGGTTACGGGCCGGTATCACAAAACCTCGGATGTCAAACTCGACGACCATTAATCTTAGTTCCCGTGCAAACATCGATCCGACCGACTCCGCTCACACACGAATACGTAATGTCGAGTTGCCTGGTCACCGAGTGGGGCTGCTGCTGCTGCCACCCTCGAAAACTTTCCGACGAACCTCGTGGAAGCTCTTTTAACGACTCGCTGACTCTATACCTTACTTCATCCATCCCAACGTGTGTTTATCCGTCTATATACACGCAACTATGCGTTGCTGTTTCCCTGCATCCTCTCGGAAGTTCACTAGTGTATACTTTTATGGTCTACATAGAGCAGCGAATATTTCGGAGCTCAGAATTGTACATACATATGTTATCGATACGCTCGATCGTATCACGATACCACCTCTAGCGGATACTATTGGATTCCGTCCTTTGTTCGTCTCCTGAATCACCTTTGTAACCACGATATTCCGTGACTAGCAAACGAGTTCGTTAGCGTATTCGACCAGGCGAGGACTTGGACCGTTGAATAAAAACTGATCGAACCGATTGAGGACCAAAGTCTTCACCTGCCTTCGGGAACAGATTTTCGGGGGTAGTTTTCCAACGTGACGACGCGAGCAACGGAGCACGAGGAAGCTCAGTAATGCTCTTACGATGTAACCATGGCTATAATCTCCGACAGGAAGACCTACCCAGACTATCTGTCTTTATCTTGAAAGTTTGCCGCGGCTTTCCAAGGGGGGGGGGGGGGGAAGAAAGCTGCGAGAACAGGGGGAAACTTTCGGTTCCGCCGTGAAAACTGTTGTTCTTCGGGCGGGAAGCAGTTGATTTTTATTACCGTTGCTCGCGGGAGAATCGATATGGGTGGATATTTTTGTTCCTCGCACTTTCCTTACGCTATGGAAATATGTAGGTGAATTCTGGGTATTCTATGGTTACTGAGATCCGTCGAGAGGTCGATGGTCGTGTTTTTGTATGCCCGAATGACAGTCAACAATGGACCGTCGTAAATAGGGATACCTCGACAGCTACACAGTGACTTTCAGGAATCCTAGAAACATACCGACGAGTAAACAGAGCCCCATTTCTTTTACTTCATGCTACTTCCATAATATACACCAACCGGAATCCTCCATTTTCCGCCAATCACAAATCAATCCGTTGGAACAAGCGTCTACGCACACACTCATTCACTAGAGCACGTTCGATCGTCGACAGGAACACATCTCTCAGTCGCACGTAAAGCAGTTCGTACACACATGCACGTACAGCATATTATTACGTTCGCGTTTATATTGAAGTTTAAGTGTGTTACAAAGTAGTGTCAAATTATTCAAATCACACGCGAGTGAAACGCGAGTGTCGTCAGAATTGTGCGTGATTTCCTAAGAGGTAACTTTTTATCGGTATTATTATTATTCAGAGATGGGCAAATTCATTATCTAGATAAAGAGTTTCGAATTAAGAGTAAAAGATAAAAAAATTTCTTCATCATTTTTAATCGTTTAATCGTGGAAATTCCAATTTTTACAATAAAATAGAATTGGCCAACAATTACTTATTGATATTCATTCGTGTGTTCGGTGTGTTTCAGATCGTTCTTGGCCGAAGATGACATTGGAAGAGAGTGCCTCGACACCCGGTGAGTCCACGACTTATTATCTTGGTTTGCATGCATATTTCCTAGTCACCGTGTTTCATGCCGGTCGAAGCCGAACAAGTACACGGGAACTGCGTCGGTGAGCGAGAAATATACTCGCACGATATATTGGCCTCGGCAGAAAGCCGCAGCCAGCCCTGGTTATCGATCAGACGAGCGCTAGAGAGAGACAGAGAGAGAGAGAGAGAGAGAGAGAGCTAGGGCTGCTCGTTTCGCGAGCAATTTGTATCTTTGAATTATTTCGAGGTCGTGTCTGTGGCAGCCAAAGTATTTCGGCTCACGTTTCTGGCTGCGCCGTGAACGCTCGATCCTTAAGCGCGTCTCTGTCTTCCAGCATCGGGGCACCACCCTAGTATTGGCCCTTTCGTTCTCACAAATTTTCACGTGAAGTTTATATACCAAACGATTCGGACAACAACGGAAGTTAAGAAAATTATAAGAATAGAGAATTTTCATTTCAGTTAGTGGTCCGTAGACAGGAGACGTTTCTAGCAGCACTCGTGGACAGGCTCTTTTAAATCGAGAACCCGTCGAGGACGAGGAAAAATCGCGCGGAACGAATCTAGATTCTCGCGAGGAGAAAGAGTGAGAGAGAGACCCTGTTTCGTCGAGTGGCCTGTTCTAGACACAACACACAGACCGTATAATCTCGCCGCGGCACCTCTCGAGCCACGTGGATCCCGCGATAATGGAAAATACCAAGGGGTAGGGGGGTTGGGCAGAAAAAACGAGTCAATTTACGTTACGTCCCGTACAGGCTTCTCGATCCTGGTAGAGATTGGTTCCGTTCGTTTGGAGTCGTCGTCGTCGGTCCTTTCAAGAAAGATTCAATCAGACAGACGAACACGGGCTTCGAGGAACCGATGGGCAGGTGCGTTGCCCGTTCGAATATATCGCCTGTTACGCGATTGATGAGAACCAGCCCCACGGAATCTACTTGCAAATCGGAAATTCAACGGAATCCGATTTTCAAACGCGACAATTTAACACTTCTCCCGTGGACCGACGAATACTCTCGATTGTCCATCGTGGGGACGAAACAAACTTGTGTTGTTCGCGAAACGACGTTTGAAAATTACCATGGAAAATATCACGAAACGACGACGTTGGAGACTTACCATGGAAAATATCGTAGGAAATGTGGTTTTCACGATGATCTGCTCGCGGTTCACGATTTTCTCGAACGTTTTTCGACGCTTTTCTCGTTCTCGGAATCTGTCCCGAGCACGAGATTCACCGTACCGCGACAAATCGAGAGACACCAGCTGCCGGTGGGCCAATCGCGGTTTTCTACGTGACCGATCGGCCGACGTAGGAGATTGCTGTCGCAGTCCACGTAGAGGACCAGCGAGCATTCGCTCGGTGAACGGTCGTCGGGCCGAGATTTTTATTCGCTCGAATGCGCCGAAAGCTGTGGCCCGCATAAAAATCCGTCTCGTTATCCTCGCCCCGGTGACGTTTGATCAACGCCGTCCCGAAACTTTATCGTCCAACGTCGACGATATGTAACTCGACGAGGAGCCTGGGTGTCGGCTCAATACAATTTGTGTAAAACCGAAATGATGTAGGAAATGCTGTGTTTGCCTCAATTTAACTTTATTATAATTCAACTTAGCGCACATATACTACTATACAGGGTGTCCCATCTAACGTGAGCACCTTTAATATCTCAATTGTTTTCGAAAATAGAAAAAGAATGTGACAGGAACATATTATTTGGGTGGAAGGGGAAACACTTTGATAAGCAAGACATTTTTCTTAAAATCAAAGTTCGAAGCCTCTTTGGCACTAACAAGGAGAGGTTCCCAGGTGCAACGCTGACTTTTTAATCAGGTTTATCATAGCGATAGAGCTTGGAATTCTGACGCCAATGATATTTGTTTCGGCCGTATATGGCCATTAGTTTATGAAATACGTTATGTTCAGTGCCGAGGAGCCTTTGAACACTCGCTGAAAATCGCGCGACACCAGGGAACGTGTGTTTCAGTCCCATTAATTCCGCTCAATTAGGGACTAATCTCGACTTGGGCCGCTTCGAGAAAGGAATTTAATTAGAGGGAACGCGTGGTCCATCGCGTGGGGGAAAACTTTCCTCGGGAGGAAAATTAATTTTCCTTCCGTCGATCGTATCCGGGCCCGTCTGTCCGCCAGGTCACGGACTTAATAATGCCGTAATGGTGGTCCAGGTTCGCGGTGCAGAGCTATCAAAAGTACCGTCACGCGTCCATCGACCAGCCTATACATCGGCATCCTCGTTCCACCTTCAACATGGCCGCCTTTACTCCGAAGCAATTTTCATGTAATTAGCCGACAAGCAGGCATTTGCGGCTAGTCGCTCGTTCATCTTATCACCGATAAATCCCCCTCCTCCCTCCCACTCCACCGTCTCCCTTGGTAACGTTTTGATCTATCTACCACGAGAATAACATGTTAATACATACGTAAAACTATTATACACAGTGTCAAGCGATGTTTTTTGCGAACTTTAGTATAAAAATGGTCTTCCCGTTAATGATAATAAATTAAATTAAATTAATGTAGAGATTCTTTGAGAACGTTCGGAAGGCATCAACTTAATCACCCTTGTCGATTGTGGTAAATGTTTAGCGGCAAATTTTTCAATGCTCTTAGCAAATTCCCTTACAGACTATCTCCTCCCCCTAGGGGAAGACGCGTGATCGATAGGTGAGACGCGCGTTGTACCGAATTTCTCGGCTCGTAGAAGGAACACGAGCCCGTAGGGAACGATGATCGAAGTCATCCCGGGGGGCAGCTGATAGCGGGGGCAACTTCACGGCGAAATGAGGCAGAAAAAAGTCTCGGATCCCGCAGACCTGGTTCCGCGTTCCCGGGTGATTGGGCAGTGGCCTGATTTTCACGGTCGACTGCACGCAAGATAGATTAAGTATAACCCTCGTATACACACCTTTCATCCGCTTGTGTGTACGCTCCCGTAAAGAACCCCACCAACCCTTGTGCTTCCACCGTCAGGGTCGGCTGCAGCGTCGAGATACGTTGGTGAAATTTCACGTTCCCGTGATTTTACGTTAGTGCAAGGAAGGATCACGCTCACCATCATCCCCAATGGATAGTCTGGGATCTCTTAACAGTCCGACAGATTATCGAATGGCAGTTGCATCGTAGAATTTTGCCATTAAAACGACAGCGATACATTTGGGAACTTGTCTTTGTCAGTGTCCAGGAACCTTCGAATACTCAAACATGAATTACTGTACATTGCTCGTTCATTCTTTTTTCTTAGCTCGTTTCAACATCGTAAATATTGCAGATGGTAAAGAAAATTGGGTCGTGTGTGCGCGACCCCGACTTGTTTTCGAAATGGAAACACTTTATTCGCGCTTCTTCACCGAGATTCCATGCTAAAAAGTCCGACACGTACACATGGGAGAACGGAAAATTGTAGGCTGGGGTATCGGCTCGCCGGATGAAATTGTTCCCAGCCGGGGAATTTGCTTAACGGGGCGTCACCGCCGCCGCCGCCGTGATATTAAAAGCGCGGAGTGAAAATCGGAGGCACGAGTCTGTGTTTATGCAGGGCCGATAGAGTTTAACTACCGACCATCGCCGGGCTCGATCGTTCCATCGACACCGGAACGGTAAACGAAATTTCATAACGAAGTCCCACGCCGTTGGTGCGGTGCCCGGGCGTTTGCATTTTGTTCACCTCGATTTGTCACTGGACGGACCGTCGCGAACCGATACGGGTTGCAGTTTAATTATTGGGAATTAATCGAGCGACGTTGAAACACAGAGGTTCGTGTTTCTGTTTTATTGTGTTTTTTTTTTCTGTTGTCGTTAATAAAACTGATTGTCGAAGAAAAGTGAAGCTCGATGCATTGTGCACCGACGATCGAAATAAACGCGAATCCCTTTGTTTTTATTATCGCGTCGACTGCCACAGCGAAAAAGCTCGTATGTAGCCAGACACAATTTATTTGGTTTTTCAATTTATAAATAATTTCACCGAAAATTTGAACACCCGGGTCTTTTATGGCACGAGCGAAATTTCACGCTTAAATATCTACGAAACGAAGGGATTGTTATTAAAAGAAACCTTTCAACTCGAATCATTAAAATGCGACCGTGTTACAGGCGATCTCTAATCAAAGGTCAACGGGCAAACGTGGTTTATCAGCCGTGAGACGCAATCAACGAACTATGGGGGAGGGGGAGGCACGGGATCTCTCGTAATGTTCTGTTCAGGCCGTGGTGGTCGGCCACCAAAACATCGACGCGGAACGTTCGATGCCCGTTTCCGACCGCACGTACCGGAAGTTTCACACGTTTCACCTGCGTCCCCGTGTTCTATAATCGCGAACACCGATCCGCTCCGACATAGTCGACGGTGGTGGTGATGCGAGTTCATCCCCTTCTCTCTCGTCCCATCGCCCAATCCACGGATTAGCTGTCAAGATCGACAGCGTGATGTTGGTTTCCTTTCGATTCGATGACCGCGTTGATTTCCATGGAAAATTGCTCTCTCCATCGTCCCGTCTCCTGTCTTCCACGTCGCGCGTATTCCCATCGAATTTTAATCGTTGGCGCGCGCGAACAGATTGACAGCGGAATAAGAGCGCGAAATTTTATCGCGTTTCTCCGAATTTTCCGGGAACTACTACAGGATATCAGTGATGGTACCGAATTATTATGCGGGTATAAACTCAGTAAGTTACAGCACCATAGTATACAGTAAGGAATTAATGATAAGAGTCATAGAAATACGGTCTCGTTAGTATTATAATAATCGCAGAAGGACGGTGTTATTTCTCCAATAAAAAGTGTGGAGACCGTATTTTCTATGGTGGCAGCGTATCCACGTAGAATACTTGTTTCGCCTTCCCTAAGTAGTCGTAACCATTGGTGAACGGGCACGTGCTCGTTCGACCTCCGAACAAACTCCGCCGAGCATAATACAGTTGTGCGTGCCGTGCTTTTCCCGAATTTACGATAACCGTGTGTAT